GACATCACTTCATCATAATTTGTGAGTTCCTACCAACTTTCCCATTGGCTTTAGTAGTTGGCGGATGGCTGTGAAGATTACAAACGACAGTCACGCGACTGGCCCTCTCCAACCATCATAAATGTGCACTGCTTACCTAGAGTCCGAATCATGATCATGTGACCATGGGAACACTACAAAGGCTAAAACTTTGAGGACTGATTGCAAATCTCTGTTTTCAGTGCCGTTGCAAGTTTGGACAATGCTGAAGGTATGCTGGTTGGTAACAAGGATCTTTGGAAGAAACAGAATAAAGGCTGAAAACAGTGATAGGAAATTGTTCTATGGCATGGGAGCTAAGAAAATAATTAGCTTTCCACCTTAATTTTTTAATATTATTAAATGCATATTCAGTTTTCTAATTACTCTAGTGCTCAAGGTGACTTATCAACAAGCAATATTAATATTTAATACATAATATTAAAGATTAAAAATAATACAAATAAAACCCAAGCCAAAATGAAAATCAATCAATAACATTATTAACAAATATTAAAAGATCTGGAGCCAAACATAGCTCTTTAGAGAATTCTTTCTAAGCTTGGAGCCATAGAGAAGGTGGTTCTTTCCCACAAAGATGAACCATGACAATGTGGTATCTTGAGAAGGGCCTCTCCTGCCAATCTGAGTAACCCAAAAGATTTGCAGCAGGAGACACAATGCCCCAGATAATCTATTACTAAGCAGTTTAGGGATTTAAAGGTCAGTGCGGCAGGGTGGATTTGATTTAAATCGAGTCGATTTAAATCATGATTTAAATCATGATTTAAATCACTAGTAAAAAGACTTGATTTAAATCAACTCGATTTAAATCATAATTTTTAAAGAGCAACTGTCATCTCTGCTACTCCTTTGACCCGCTATTGACTCACCGATAGTCCCAGTGTTGTAGAATATACAGCCTTGTGCTACATAACTAAGCTCCATTTCATGCTGAATAAACTAAATTATTTATGTATCTTAAATAGAAAACTATCTTACGATAGATTTTTACCCAAAAGTTTTTTATTAAAATAAATTCAATAAAAATCAAAAAAATCTGATTTAAATAAAAAAATCCGATTTAAATCAAAAAAATCCGATTTTTTTGATTTTTTTAAAAAAATCATTGATTTTTATCCACCCTGCAGTGCGGCCATCTTCAATTGTGCCTGGGGCACATTTAGCAACCAGTGCAGATTTTTTTAGCACAAACATCACAGGATTCCTATATTGCATAACAGACCAGAAGCTGGATGTTTCATTTTGCACCAACTGCACCCTCTGAATACTTATCAAGGGTAGGCCCGCATAAATTAGAAGAGTTGTAACCAAGGTGCAAATTACCGTCACTAAACTTCACTAGCTCAGGGAAGATCCCAGCTGCACCCTACCCATAACTGTGCAAAGTACTGCTCATTGCAGCTACCAGCTGCAAATCCAATGACAGCTGATGGTCAAGACCCACTCTAAAATTGTAAGCCCATTTCTTCTTGGGGAGTGCAGTCCCATCCAAAACATCACAATTCCAGAGTCCAGCGTTCTTCTTGCCAATGGTATCTCTGGATTGTCTGGATTCAATTTCAGCTTGCTCAGTTTCATTCTGTGAAGAACTTCTTTTGACTAATTCTGAATCTCACCTTCACTGAGCAATCTCACGTTTGGGCAGAATGAAATGCGGCGTTTGCCGTGCCATGCACCATTTCCACTGTATTTCTTTTAACAGCCTTCCCTACCTTGGAATAAAGAACTCCCAAATGCCTTATTTTTTTTTTTTTAATGATTTCATTTTACTCCATGTATGTATCTGCTGTAAATTGTGAATGGAAGAAAGGGTTGCAGAAATGAAACATCAAAACATGAAACATGAAAATGGGTCCCTCGGGAGTTGGGCGGCATAGAAATGCGATAAATGAAATGAAATGAAATGAAATGAGAGGGCAGAACAATGTTCTGAACTATGAGGAGACGAGTTGTTTTGCCCTTTCCTCATAGACTTCATATTGCAGAATACATGGGTTGGAAGGTTCCTTAAAAATCATCTAGTCCAATCTCATGTCTAGGGTAGAAATCCATTTCTACAACATCCTTTATATACCACCATCCAGTCTGCTTAAATATGGAAGAGTCCATCACCACCCAAGGCATTTGTTCCACTGTGCTCCTACTTTTAGGGCTTTTTTTACCCTAATGTCCAGATGACATTGAATACCTTGTAATTTCAACCCATTATCTTTTCTTCCATCATCTGGGATAGGATTTTGAATAACTCTCCCCCGTCTTCTATATAATAACTGTTCTGATACTTGAAGATAATGATCGTATCTCTCTACAACTGCCTCTTCTCCAGATTAAATAAAATAATAATCTTGCATTTGTAATTTAGACTGTTATCCAGTAAGTATTCATAACAATATCTATCACATAGTTGAGGTCTTTAATGTATAACCTAGAGAGAGAGGTCGCTCAACACAGATCCTATGTTCGTAACTATGTTATGAACAATATTCACTTACTATACAGTGGTATGCGTAAAACCTTTTGTGTTCAACGGGGCTCACTTTAAAATAAGAGTCCATGAGACTGTGAGGTCCTGAACTGTTAGCAATATGGAAACAAACAGAATTGGAGATTGGGAACTCATCACTTTCTTTTAGGCTGGGTTCACAGATCACAATAAATCGTGATTCATTTAGCCATGGTTTGTGGACTAAACCAGTGTCATGAGGGTTCTTATATCTTGTTATACCAAAAGCGGTATAAGTGCTTAAGTGCTTAAATTTCATAAGTGGCAATAGCTAGATTTGCACTATGCACTGAGCCAAAAACAAACCCACTTCATTTGTTTTAGTGTGATGTGTGCACTCAGACACTATTTTGCAATTGTGGGGCCAATCCAAGATCCTTCAAAGTAGGACAAATTATAAATACGTTCTGAGCAGAAGGGCAAGGATTATGTAGTCCCTTCTTACACTATAAGTCTATTATTGTTATTTTCCAACAATGCCAATGTGAAATGCAAGGCCACTCTTGAGAAATAAAAATGATTCTAGATGTTTAGAATTAAAATAATCTTTAAAAAAAAAAAAAAAAGAGCGGGGCAGAAGATGACAAGAAAATTATCCACGAATACACTGGTATCCAAAGGCAACATCCTGGGGATTTAAATGCACACGATGCAATTATATTGATACCATTCAGCACATCTGAGCACCTGGACTGGAATCCCCTGAAAGTCCCAAGCAAGCAGTTTTATATTTCCTGAAATGCTATAGAAGCATAATAAATAACCATCATGCTCTTCGGAAAGAAGGAAATCAATTCAGCAACTACCTTCACAACCCCAAATGTGAAAGAATGAAACCAATTCTGCAGTTCTTTCCACTTGGAAACACCTGTTGAGGGACCATACAATGCAGGCATTCTTCCATTACCTCTAGCATTCTCTCAGAGGAAAAAAAAACCAATATACAACTACTTGCCTTCGTTCAGGAATGGAAGAACAAGGAAGAGGGTGGGTGGGTGGACATAACACACGTGCATGCCAGTTAACCAAAACAAAGTGACAAGCTGGTTTCATGATTACTTTAGCTCTTCCTTTTGCCTTTTGCCCGTGTGCTTAAATGACACAGTCGTAAAAAATCTTTAAGGTTGAAATGCATTATATCAGCCCAGGAAGAGGTCAAACCAAATTCTTACAGTGAAAAAGGAAGGAGAAAAAAAAACAGATACTCATATTTTATCCAAATGAGTCAACCAATAGCAATACCTTACAGCAGGGGTAAAATTCACTTACCTTCCCTACCGGTTTGCAAATGTGCATGTGCCGCACGCACGCACGCTTCACTCGTGTGCACCATTGTCTGCACATGCGCAAAGCCTTCTGTGCATGTGCAGAGGCTTAAAATCGTTGCAAAAAAGTGACATCATGACATCTGCATGGGTGGGCGGAGCCTCCCGCAGCCGCCGCTACCGGTTTGCCCGAGCCAGATAGAACCGGCTGAATTTCACCCCTGCCTTATAGTATCCATGATACGTGAAATAAATTGAGTCTTCAAGTATTAAAACTTCAATTGTAGTACATTGGTGGCCAGTTCCACAAAACCAAGTGTCTTTTTTCTATTTTGCAGAACACAAATTTGCATTCCTTAATGATTATGTGGGAACTATTTAAGATGTCTATAGACTTGGTATCCAAACAACTATTTCACTAGATAACAAATGATCTTTGTTTCCATCCCATCTTTTCTGTATGCCTAAAACTATCAGGAACCATTGGCACAAATTTCAGCTGCAGTGATCCTACTAGTTTGTTGTACTTGTATCTTGGACAACTTGAATGGCCAGCAAACAAAAATCAAAGAAAAGAAGTTTTCATTCTTCGGGTCCTGCCTGTCAAGCAGTATTGGAAGCCAAGTAGCCATGACACACCCCCTGCCTCCCCCCACTTTTACTTAAACCAAGTAAGGACTAAGTTATGTCTTGGAAAGTTAACTGCAAGATATACAAAGCAGTAATATCTCATGTGAGAATGCAAGGGGAAACAAAATATACAAATATATCTCTCGATGAATATTTTGTATAATGCTAGCCCGTGCAACTGTAAACCCGAATCATACACAGAAAGCCAACTTTGGGGAAGATAATTTAACCGACTTGGGGGGTGGGGAGAGAAGCCCCTTGCTTCAATGTAACTTCCTTAACTACTCAGGGAGACCCCCAGAATTTATCAAGTAGAAGAATCCGCTCTAACGAAGCCTTCTCGGGGGACTCTGGATTTTGGGGTTTGTTTGTTTCTCCCCGTCCCTGTCCTGAAATTTTCGCGCGACTAGCTTACTAAGGAAATCCAAATCCCAAGGAGCACGGTGTGATTTCGAACTTAGAGACAACAGAACTTATAAATACAAATAACGGAGTTGTCACTCAAGTCTTCTCCTGCCAAGCCCTCTCTCCCCCCACCCCACCACTTCCCAAATACTGACCTGTTGCCCCCACTGCGCCTCTGCCCGGGCAGAACAGCTGCAGAAGCTTACGACCGTACCCGGGAGACTAAGATCCAGGAGCCCCGCTCGCCTATTCCAAGCGGCGATCTGCGAACCTTCCGAAACGGATCCCGCCTTTCATCTGGTCTTGCTTGCTGCTGAAGCGCCAACGAGAGCCGCCAGCGGAAAGAGCGGGAGCCGGAAAGTCCCCGGGCTTGCAACCTGAGGCGCCGCCGCTTTAGCGCCACACGGTATTGTTTCCAAAAAGACACTCGCTTCCTGGCATTACCCGCACAGCTGATGAAAGGCACGCCTCCTCGCCGTGACGTCAGGGAGGGGATCTAGCCAATGGGGAGCGGCAGGCCCGCACGTTCCCAGCTCGCGGCGCTCGGGGCTGTCACAACGTGGGTAATTTGTCGAGTCCGGCTCGTGATCTCAGTTCACCGCGAGGCAAGCAAGGCTGGAGCTCCGGCGGAGCCGTTTCCAAAAGCCGCTGGCTCGAAGCAGGGCAGCCGCCTCCTTCCCCCTCGCTGAGGCGGCCAGAATGAGTTGGGAAGACCTGAAGCAAAAGACGTTATATTAAACCGTACCTTTTGTGTGTTGCCCTTGCATTCAGCCCAAAGCCAAAACCTCACAATCAAGTCGAAGGCAGGACAAGTCCAGACTTGCAGAGAAGCAATTTTTGGGCGGTCCTTAGCGCCTTCCTTTTTTTCGAGTTCTAAAGATGGGGCATCGGAGAGCCTCTCTCCTGGTTTCTTGGTTGTTTGCAGTAATCCTGAAATGGTATTGGGTCTCCTGCTCGAACAGCGGGTTGGGCTAGATGACCTCCAAGGTCCCTTCCAACTGTTGTGATTCTGTGTTCTATGCCCTCAGCCTGGTGTCCACTGGTAGATTAGTTTCCATCTTTTTCAGCCAGAACAGTGACTGGAAAGTATGGGCCCATGATAATGCAATATATCGAAGGGTGCCAGACTGAGGAAAACTTGGATACTTGTTTTTTCTTGGTTGGTGCCTCCAAATTGGGCACCTACAAATTGCCAAATAAAAAGGAAAAACTTTTAGCTGCACTTTAACAATCCTAGATGAAACTAAGAGGGCACAAAGAACTGTTCCAAGTTGTTTCCGATATTAAAAAGATGTATTATTTGGCTTTTGAATAGGGAGGTTTAATTTAGTTGTGATAACCTTTCATAAACTTACCCTTCTAGGATTTGATTTAAACCTTTCTGGATATAATTTCCTTCTAAACAACCCCATTGCCTTTGCTTTTTATGTACCTTGAAGAATTCCCAGTGGATAGCCTTCAGTACTTACTTCCCTCCATTGTCAGAATTGTCAATTTATTCATACCCTTGCTTCCTGTTTTGAAACCACTTGCTGCTCTATAGGAGAAACTTGCCTACTTGGAGAAACATAAATATTTTTCAAAATATTTGGAGAACTTTATACTAGCAATATTAATATAAAACCTGCCATTTTTCTCTTTCTTTCCTAGAAAGGAATTTGTATTTTGCCTAATGCGGGACACAGATCCAGGTAATCTTTCATTTATTAGATCTGAAGACCACCCAAATCCAAGCTTACTCTGGTCAATTTATCATTTTAAAAATAGAAAAAGAAGGTAAGCGTTCATACAATATTCATTTATCTATCTATCTATCTATCTCTATCTATCTATCTATCTATCTATCTATCTATCTATCTATCTATCTATCTATCCATCTATCCATCCATCCATCCATCAACCAACATTGATGGTTGGTTGCCCTGGTAGCGCAGCAGACTAAAGCACTGTTTTTAACATCAGCTGCCTGCAATTACTGCAAGTTCAAATCTCACCAGGCTCAAGGTTGACTCAGCCTTCCATCCTTTCTATGGTAGGTAAAATGAGGACCCAGATTGTGGGGGCAATAAGCTGACTTTGTATAAATATACAAAAGTATGAAGGCTATTGCTTAACGCATTGTAAGCCGCCCTGAGTCTTCAGAGAAGGGCGGCATATAAATCAAATTTTTTAAAAAAACATAATTCCACAGCCACCTAAAACCAGGCCTGGGAGAAGAGGTATGTTTTAACAGATCTTCGGAAGATCATTCCAGAGGACAGGTACTATGACAGAGAATTACTTATTTGAATCATTCTGAAGAGAGCAAGTGGGTCAGATTTTATTTAATGGCCAAAAACATGATGAGATAGGCAGTCCCTCAAAAACCCTAATGCCATGAAGGACTTTATAGTTAATGATCGGCATCTTGAACTGTACCAGAAGCTCACCAGCAATGAGCAGTTTACAGGGCAGTGGTGCCACAAGACACAATACAGCCTGCACCAGCCTGCATACTGGACCAGCTGTAGCTTTCAAGGGCAGCTTCATGTAGACCACATTACATTAATCCAATCACAAAGTGACCAGGCTGTTAGTAATTCTAAAATACAATCTGAAACCTTCATAGTATGTTTATCTGATTTAGGTCCTACATTTTCTTCTATCCTTCATTTAAAGAGTATGTCTCTATAAAATATCCTGTCTCTGTAATTATACCCTAATTCAGTGGTTCTCAACCTGGGGTCTGTGGCAGTGGTGAAATCCAAATTTTTTTTACTACCGGTTCTGTGGGCGTGGCTTAGTGGGCTTGGTGGGTGTGGCTGGGGAAGGATACTGCAAAATCTCCATTCCCACCCCACTCCAGGGAAAGGATACTGCAAAATCCTCATTCCCTCCCTACTCCTGGGGGAAAGATATTGTAAAATCTCCATTCCCACCCCACTCTGGGGCCAGCCAGAGGTGGTATTTGCCGGTTCTCTGAACTGCTCAAAATTTTCGCTACCGGTTCTCCAGAACCTGTCAAACCTGCTGGATTTCACCCCTGGTCCGTGGACTCCTGGAGGGCGCCGTAATGTCACCATAAGGCAGGGGTCCTCAAACTTGGCAGCTTTAAGACTTGTGGACTTCAACTCGCAGAATTCTCCGCTATGCTGGCTGGAGAATTCTGCGAGTTGAAGTCCACAAGTCTTAAAGCTGCCAAGTTTGAGGACCTCTGCCATAAGGAGTCCGCGAAGGCTTGAAAAAGTGTTATGATTTAAATCTTAAATCTTAGGGGTCCATGGTCATAGTCCATGGCCACAAAAGTTATTTAAAGGGAGTCCATGATGAAGACAATGTCCTTTGCCCAATTCCTATAGTAGCTATTTTAGCTTTGATAATCTTAAGCATCGATTGAATGATAGTCTCCCAGCAGATGGCTTTCAGGGCCGTCCCACTGCCATCAAGGCTATTAGCCATGGATCCCTTTCCCACCATTTCCCATTTTAAAAAGACTAGATGTGCTTTTCTGTATTAGAATGTGGAACAGAAGAGAACATTTCATTTTAAGGGGCAGAAGATAGTAGTTTTGTATCCCCTGTTCCCATGTAACACAGCTTCATGGCACTCCCATCCATAGCTACTTCTCTTATAGAATCCAAAACAAAAATATTGTGACACCCTACATTCATTTTTCTGCACTGCAGCATTCCTGTTTCCCTGGGAGGAAGAATGGCATTTTCCCAGATCCAAAATACACAGTCGATGACTGGAGAAAATGTGTTATTCTTGCAACTTATATCACCTCAAATCAGACAGCAGATAACTAGAGAACTCTATAGAAGAGACAGGTATTTGTGCAAAAATCTGATAGTTAAAAAACATCCCTTAGTAATACCGTGGGCTGTTTTTCTCTGAACTTACCAGTAGAAGGCAAGATAACCAACACTGGATTAGTTTTTAGCACTTTTTAAATAGAATGTACAGCATATTAAGGTACTATTGGTTCTTCAAGATTCATCATGATTTTCAAAGAGGAAATATTTATTCACTTTTTCTCCTTGGGGAGAGTGATTTTGAAGGAGTTGGCCACATTTCTATAATTCCATTTATTTATTTATTTATTTATTTATTTATTTATTTTAAAAAAATAAATAACACAAAGATCAAAATTCATGCCTTGTCAAAGAAAAAACAAAATATTTTTTTAAAAATGAAAAAAATGAAAAAAGGTATATTTTAGTTGTAATTACAATTCTATTTGTAGTTATCTAATGCAATTATTGAAGTATATATGTATTTATAATACATTTATATAATTATATATATATATATATATATATATATATATATATAGTAATCTACCTTTTAACTCTATACCTAATTTTTATAAATGAGCCCCATATTTCACGATGTATGTATCCATACAGAGTATATGTCTATTGGCAACCTACTCTCAGGTGGAAAGTACAATCAGTCCATTAAGTAAAAAGGTCCATATATTTATATTTCCAATGCTGCAATATCAGTCCTTTGGCCATAGTAAGGGAGAATTCTTTTACATTGTCCGGTTGTTAATTTTCAAGTACTAGGTACAATATGGGAGTTCAAAAGAATATTATCATGTGGGAAAAAAATAGTTTTTGTTACACAATCACATTTACATAATCCAGTATTTTCTTCACATTTACATAATTCATACTTTATAACCATAAATTACATTTGAATTGCTGCGCCACAATATGACAGCACATGACTGGTTTTTCTTTAACCCTATTATAATATCTAAGGGGACGCAGTGGCTCAGTGGCTAAGATGATGAGCTTGACGATCGAAAGGTCGGCAGTTCAGCAGTTCGAATCCCTAATGCCATGTAATGGGGTGAGCTCCCATTACTTGTCCCAGCTTCTGCCAACCTAGCAGTTCGAAAGCACATAAAAAATGCAAGTAGAAAAATAGGAACCACCTTTGGTGGGAAGGTAACAGCGTTCCGTGCGCCTTTGGCATTTAGTGATGCCGGCCACATGACCACGGAGACGTATTCAGACAGCCCTGGCTCTTCGGCTTTGAAACGGAAATGAGCACCGCCCCCTAGAGTTGGGAACGACTAGCACATATGTGCGAGGGGAACCTTTACCTTTACCTTTACCTTATTATAATATATTATTTTCCAGGTAATTTGACTTTGTATTTAAAATAAACCTATTTACATAGGCTTCATTCACACAATACAAAATGTTTGACCTGAGCCAATTAGGTGAACCCAGCATTCACCAACAGTTGGGCTACTCCCTGAGTCTCCTAGAAGTTTAGGTTCATCTCTGCTTTAGTAAAAGTGACCCAGCCTCCTTCTTGGTTGATCAATTCTATGGAGTAACAACACAACAGTTCTTACTGATTGTGCTCAGATGACAGAAGACTGACTCTTAGTCATGACTGTGCCGCTTGGTTCCTCCTGCTGGTCTAAGTTATATGTGCA